ACAGCCACTGAGCTGGGGTCAGCCACAGCCACCAAGCTCAGGTTAGCCATGGCCATCAAGCTCGAATCATACATGGCCACCGATCTCTCAGCGCCGCTGCAGCCCCCGGCCGTGCCCAGCTGTGCCCGGCTGCTTTCCCTCTCACACCGCTCCTGAAGCCAGTGCTGCCCTCTGGCTCTCAGCAACACTGTGATCCTTGAGCATCATTTGGACATTTCCCGTGAGAAAAGGAGGTGTCAGCCCCTGCTGGGCTCTACAGCAGCAGACACTGGCCATGCTCCAGGTCTGGGGGAGGCAGAGCTGCCTCAAAGGGGTCATTGGCCCAATGCTGGCAGGGCTGACTGCAGCAGAGCAAGAACAGCTCAGCCTGAGCTCGMTGAGTGCCCGAGGATCCCGCAGGATTCCCATTGCTTCAGGTGCTCTGGCTGCAAGGACTCCAGGAAATCTGTAACAGTTCATGGGACAGCCCCAGGGATTGTGACTGCTCTGGCCTTGGTCCACTGTCCTGTACCCAAAACGAGCCAAGAATCTTCCTCAGTGGGAATAAATGCCCAGAAGAGCAGAACTGTGTCCAGTTTGAATGGGGCAGAGCTGTGYCCAGGTGTGGGGGTGCCAGCAGTCAGGGCATGGGTAGTGTGGCCAGCCAAGTCTGGTTAACTTTAGGATTAATAACTTGATCTTGACCCCCAGTGAACCCCCCAGCTCCCTCTGCAATGCCCAGGCAGAAGAGGTGGTGGYATCAGCCCCACGTTAGGCTCAGGGAGTGAGGATACTGCACCTTGGCCAGGCTTGGGCAAAAAAACTCACTGTGCCAGGGGCTGGGATAGGCAGCTTGGCAGCTGTCAGCACCCCTGAACATCCCCCAACTTCCCCCCAAAATCTCCAGCAACACCTTAACATCCCCCAGCATCCACCTAACATYCCCCAGCATCCCCCAGTATCCTCCAGTATCCTTCCAGTATGGCCCAGCTTGCTGAGCAAGGGAGGAGCAGAGGCCAGGCAAGGCTCCAGGAGAGGAGGTGGCTGCGCTCCTCCTCAGTGCCCACATCAGCTCGGAGGAGGGAGCCCTTGGAGCGCAG